ATAATTTGGAATTATCTATATGTAGATATTATCATAAAAGACTATTTGGTATGACAAGAATTTAGCATAAACACATTTAAGCTTCAGAATAAACAAATTTGCAAAACAAAATGTCAAATTAATAGTGAGGTTTTTTTTTTTTTTTTTTTTTAGCTATTTAATAATCAACTAGTTTGAATCTCTATAGAAGCTTCCAAAGAATCCATATGATTTAAAGAAGTCATGAATGAACTAAGCAACAAAATATGTATTAGATGAACATTTCATAACAAATACCTACTGATTAATCCAAAAGGTCAATGTAAGAAACATGTTGGAAATCCTCTCCTTTTTCATCAATCTTCATTTTGAATTCCCTAGACATTCTTTTAGTGACCAGTTTCTGAAGAGTGGTAACACACCTTAGACTATCTAGAATAGCCTCTAACTTGTAGCAAATGTCGATTAGCAAAAAGGCAAGACTCAAGTTGAGGAAAACCTCTACTGGAGCAAACCATTTTTCCCCTCCAAAAGCATTATAGTTGAGAATATAAGGATTCTTAAACACGGTAACTTTTCTAGTGTCTTCATTGGGTCATCCTCAAGCTCAGTTCTAGTCAACGTCAATTTAATGAGATTTCGAAAATAATTGGCTGTCTTCAGCTAACTTCTCTATCTTCCCCTCTACATTCAACTTACGAATTTGAAGACATCTTGACAACAATGGCGCTAGATCTACTCTTCCTCGAGACAAGTTTTCCACAGCTAGAGATTGAAGAAAATTAAGTACAAAGCCACACATTTCAGGTCCACGTCGTTCTACCATTTCACGTAAAGTATAATTTTACAGCACGTTTAGTTCGATGATTCAAGTTTTTAATTCGAAATGAGATGTGACTTAATGTGATAATTTTTTATTGTAGTAAAAAAGTTAAATGTGACTGTTTCTGAGAGCCTTAAGGGCCCGTTTAGTTCGCTGATTCGAATTTTTAATTCGAGTTGAGATGTGATTTTATGTGAGAGCTTTTTACTGTAGCAAAAAAGTTAGATGTGATTGTTTGTGAGAACTTTTTACTGTAGCAAAACTCGAATTCTAAACTCGAATCAGCGAAATGAACGGGGCCTTAATTCGAATTCTAAACTCGAATCGGTGAAATGAACGTGGCCGTTTTGTCATGTTGGTTCCAAGGCAAATTAAAATGAAAATACCACCCTTGAACATTCACCAATATTTGTAACGGTCAAAGTATAAAAATTATTGTTAACACACTTCTTAATAGCTTAAATTTTTGGGATGAATTGTTAAACTAACATGGTATCAGAGCGGGAGGTTTTGAGTTCAAACCCCCATAATTACACTCTTTATCTCCATTTAAATTGTCATCATGTATTGAGTTTTTAATATATCTCGGGCATAAATATTCACGTGTTGGGCTTTCTAATTAATTTACTCATACGATTGTCCATTGTCCAACCCATACGTGAAAGGGGAGTATTAGAGTATAAAAACTATTATTCACTAATCTCCTAACAGCTTAAACTTTTAAGATAGATTGATAAACTAACCGTAACCATATTATAGTACCCCACCTCAATATATTACCACACACATAAAATCTGCGTGACAAATACAAGTGTCGAAATCCCTTTAGACTATCTCAAGTCTTTAAGGTTTCAAATTTCTTCAGGCATCTTTCCAACGTAACCATGAGTAGTACGAACATTTTCAAACTATACAACTCTAAGGTGGTGAAAGCGGCTGAACAACCTCTTCATTACTTGTTAATAGGTTGTACATGGTATACTATTGAAGCAATAACAGAAATGGCAAGTTCGGGAGCTTTCCAGCACCATTAGGTAATGGAAGGAATTCTTCAGCAACATGCTTGTTCAAATAAAGGGCAATATGGCCCATGAATGTATGACGCTCAATCTCGTCAACAAAAAAAAGTTCTTAGCCACAAAACTTTTAGTGATAGTTTTTAATAATTTAGCAAAAATTCTTAGTACAACAAAATTGTTATGTTTTTATTTATGCCTTTTTTTAACTATGAGTTTTCATAACGTTGTTGTTAAAAAAAAAAAAATTTTAACGATAACAAATTTTTAACGACATAAAAATTTTTAACGACGACAAATCAACAATCATTTTTCTTATAGTTGCATAATCAGCCATAACCGACGCAACCCTTAAAGCATCTTTCAAATTCTTCTTTAGATAACTAATCTGATCTGCTGTTCTTCTTGGTCTGCAAAAGAAGAAGTGAGATGTGACGATGATTTGATTTTGATATATTTCACTATTGACTATATTTCTCTTACGTATGATAATGCCCCACAAGTAAAGCAATTTCTAAACAAGTAATAACGATTTCAAATAATAAAATTGATCTATACCAGAAACTGAACAAAATTAGAACAAAAAGCCATACCCACAAATAAAAAAACCCATGTTGTGGAAAATCGCGAAGGGACCTGATGGGGTCTAGTTCTCTCTTTGATATTGCGACTAAAGAAAGCTTTTATAGGCCTTTTGATTACAAGCATTAAGGCATTCTGACACAAGGACGAACACTTGTTGAGAAGTTGTTGGGCAGCTGGAAAAGAGGGACAAGTGGTGAATTGCTACAGGTGAACAGCGAGGGCATATGCGTGATTGCTGGGGCGTGAAGCAGTGGATTGGACACTATGAGAAGGCACTAGCCCAGTCTTGGACACATTAAACGGTGAGAGAAAATACTGTAGCAGCGAGTCACGAATAATGATTCAAATCATGACACGAATCTCTTTTCTAAACGTATACTAGTCTCAATCAACTGGTTTTAACTATTATTATAGTAATTTTGTTAAACGAGTCTTGTCGCACTCGATTATTAATGTGTCGAGCTGGTATTTTCCCATTAAGACTCGACATTTGTGTTAGTCTTTGTGCCTCATTTATCTGATAGATTTATAGCCCGTTCACTTCGCTGATTCGAGTTTGTAATTCGAGTTGAGATGTGATTTTATGTTAGAGCTTTTTACTGTAGCAAAAAAGTTAGATGTGATTGTTTGTGAGAGCTTTTTACTGTAACAAAACTCGAATTCTAAACTCGAATTGGTGAAGTGAACGGGTTTAATTTTTGTCGGTGGATTTAATTTATTTGAAATTGTAAAGCTTCTAGTTTTAACACCTCTTGTGACCAAATTTGCATTTCCTCTTTCACATTTAAAGCAATATAGTCTAACTTGAAAGATAATATGTATTGGGCCTGTTTGTTTGTGTTTTCATTTTCATTTTTCACGGTTTTCAAAGTAAAAAAATGAAAACGGGTGTTAAAAACGTGTTTGGTGCAAATTTTTTTAAAAAACAAAACCAAAAATGTTTTTATCTTTTTGTGGAAATCAGAAAACGAAAAAAAGGTGTTTTCATTTTCTTGTTTTCATTTTCTGTTTTCTAAAAACGGATTTCACTTTTTTTTGTTTTCATTTTCTTTCCTCTTTTCTGAAACCGTTTTTGTATTATATATGTTTATTTAATATATTATTATTTAATATATTATTACATATTTTCAAAAATTAAACCACCAAACACAGTTTCAATTTTTTTTAAAACTGAAATCAATCTCTAAATAAAACTACCAAATGCATTTTCAGAAATAATTCAAAAATAAAACTAAAAACGTTTTTATTTTCATTTTCGTACAGAAAACAAAAACGTTTTAGAATCAATTCCAAACGCACCCATTATGTTTTCCCGGTTTAAGGACGAATTGTTTTTCTCTTTTTTCCTACTTGAAAATTTTGTCTTTTTGCTTATCTTTTTTTTTTTTTTGTTCACTTGGTTTTTTATTTTTTTTTACTCATCAAAAAAAGAATCAATGGTGGAATCTATTGAGACCACTGAGACGATAAATAAGCAACTAAGGACACTTCAAATCATAACAGACCTCCATATTCAGAGGGCCCAATTGAGAGGCATAAGTAGAGCAATGAAAACAAGAGGAATCATTGATAAGAGAAACGTCATTCTTTTACCGTCATGTTTACCTGCCACCAGTGTTTTTTTTTTTTTTTGGCGCTTGATTGTGATAGTTTCTATTCCACATAAACAAACGAGTGTGGCTTCCAAAGGATTGATTAGTGTTACTTTTAAAATATGGATTGTTCTTTTTAGAGTGTAATTTAAGTGTAATTTTTGAGTTAAATTTAAGTTATAATTTGAGTTGAAGTTATAATTTAAATAAAGTTGAGTAAAGTTAAATAAAATTAAAATTTAAAAAAATATGAACTTAAATAAAATTAGAATTTGAGTTGTCTTTTTTTAAATTTTTTTAAACAAAAGAATATGTCCTAACTTTCTTAAATTAAATTATAGTATAAGAGATAAAAATAGAAAAGACAATAATTTCTTATATAATAAGTAATCAATAAAAAAAATCTTTATTATTACAATCTAAAAAACACAGCGAAAAGACAAAATAAAAAAGATAGGAAAAAGAAAAGCAGCCTTAAAAGTTTACAAATATGACACACAAAACAATCAAAATTCGCCGTCAAAAATTGTAGATTTAAAAACCTATTTTACGCATTATTGATAATAGAAAGTTAGTTTTTATCAATTAATATAAAAAAAAAATTATCAATTAGATTCTAAACTACGTATTCATTTAAAAATTCAGAGAATAAAAAAAAATGGCCGACAATGTGGCGGTCTAATAACATTTTAAGAGCTTATTTAGTTGTTGATTCGAGTTTTTAATTCGAGTTGATATGTAATTTTATGTGAAAATTTTTTACTGTAATAAAATAGTTAGACGTAACTGTTTTTGAGAATTTTTTACTGTAATAAAACTCAAATTTTAAATTTAAATTGATGAAATGAACGAGATCTAAATATACACGTGATATTAAAAAATGTGAATAAAAAAAATAGTAAAAAAAGAAACATACGATCCAAGAATAGGAAAAGAAGGGAATGAAGCGTGGTGTCGACACTATTGCGTTCATTTGTTTGCAAAAAGTCGCCAGTATAACGTCCACCTCTATCAGTTACCCTCCCTTTCGTCAAAATATGTCGACACTCTCTCTTAATCCCCCTCTTTCTCTCTCTCTATCTCTCCCCCTGCTGCGGAACATTTCTTCTACTGTGCTCTCTCTGATCTCATATCGATCTCTCTCTCTCTCTCCTTTCATGTTTTTGCATATATACCACCGATCGCGAGATTCGTGTTCCTCTGCTAAACCCCTTTATCCTACATTAATATGCTCTTTGCTGAGGTTCGCTTCTCGAGAAAAATACCTTTTCTTTCTATCATCTTTCTCTACAACTATTTCTCTTCTCCCCCATTCACGGTGGTGCCTTTGCTTATTTTTTATTTTATTTTTATTTTTGGTTTCATTTCTTTTTCTATACTCAGGATATCTGGCAGTTTCTCTGCCTCCGAGGAGTCTTTGGAAAAGCTCGGGCCTCTGCAGGTGAAGATTTAAAATTTTCTTGGATTCGCTATTTGATTTTCCCGGAAAATTTCTTCAAGATGAATGTTTGCCGCTCCTACTAATTCAGATTTTGAATTTTATTATTGTAACGTCCTAATTGAGTCGAAACTATCTGTTCTTTCTTATTGTGGCTTTAACGATTGATGAATGAGGCTTAATCTAGGTTTCTGTTTGTGTCTTTGATGATTTTGCACAAAGGAGTTGTTCTTTTTATTTTTTTGGAAGATGATTCTGAGCTTTTGCTATTTGCTCTGTTTATTGCGCGAAAAGCTTCGTTTTTGCAGACAATCTCCCATTCCATGGCGAATACAAGTTGCCAGAGCGCGGAGCTAGAGGTATGCCGGGATGAATCGGCGGCGCGCGTCCTCAAATTCGTCGCCATCGCCTCGATCCTCCTCTCCGGAGTGGCCGGAGTCGCCATTCCCCTCATTGGAAAGCACCGCCGGTTTCTCCGCACCGATGGCTGCCTCTTCGTCGCCGCCAAGGCCTTCGCCGCCGGCGTCATCCTCGCCACCGGGTTCGTCCACATGCTCTCAGGTGGGTCGGACGCGCTATCCAATCCTTGCCTGCCCGAGTACCCGTGGGCTAAGTTTCCTTTCTGTGGGTTCTTCGCGATGATGGCCTCGCTGTTGACCTTACTCGTTGACTTTATGGGCACTCAGTATTACGAGAAGAAGCAAGGGCTGGCCCGGCCCAGCAGCGAGGAGCAAGCTCGGGTCGGATCGGATGATTCGGGTGGCGAAACCGGAATTGTTGCGCTTCAGGCCAATGATTGGAATGGGAAGGTGTTCGGAGAAGAAGAGGGTGGCGGTATGCACATTGTGGGAATGCATGCGCACGCTGCTCACCATAGACACAGTCATGCTCAAGAGCACGGTGCATGTGATGGGCACGTGAGGGAGCATTCACACGGGCACGGGCATGACCACGGGCACTCGCATGGGTTGGGGGATGGGAACGAGGAAGGTGGTGTTAGGCACGTCGTCGTTTCTCAGGTAAATACACAACTCTTTTTTCTTTGTATCTTTGTCTTGTTTTGATTGTTGTTGTCGTTAATTGTGGGGCATTTGGTGCAATTTTACTTTTTTTATCTGCTGATTTGTGGAGTTCTTTTGTTGTACTGTTTCTTTAGTGGGCAGAAAGAAGTTATGACTTTGACAAGGAAACATATATGAGAATTGAGAACATGACAAGTGTATTAGTAAGTGGGCCCTGCGAAAAGTTCTATCCTTTTGGCATGAAAGTAGGCCCGAGTTGTGGATGGTCAAGAATAATAGATGTGCCTTGGGTGGACCCTCGTTTTTTATTTTCTTAATGCTAAAGAGTTGTGAGTGAGGTGGGCTTAAGCCCCGCTTTAGGTCGCTTGGTCATGAAGTACCATTTGTTTTGTTTGACTAATGCAATTACTTGCATGGAAAATGGCGTTTTGCTTGCCATACTGCATTTCTGACTTTTGAGTTATTAAAATTGAAATTTGACATTGGAAATCGAATATTCTTGATCAAGCAGAGTTGACTAATGCAAACTATCGCCTATCAATAATATGTTTTTTTATGGGTTTTGTGAAAAAGAAAAAAAAAGGATTGAGTTTTTTGACGATTGTTATTATTGGCCAGCTTGGTTGGATGACAATGGTTGTTGAATTAGATCTGGGGTCTAGGTCGGAGACGTTTGGTTCATATATTAGAATCATGAGATTAGAACCATTTTTTATTTACGTGTATTTTTTGTGAGAGAAAATATTGTAGCGAGTCACGAATCATGATTCGAATCAGGGGCCGAATCCCCCTTCCAAACGTCTAGTCTTTGAAGGAAAACTTTGTCAAATACTGTTGATGCTATTTTCATATGACCGGAAATGCTTGTATTTAAAACTTCATCTTTGAAGATTTGCTCTTTTTTGGAACCGACCCATTTCTATATTCAGTTTATGCCTTCCAATATCCATGTGCTTTTTCTGCGCATTTGCAATTGTTTTCTTGTATGTACTATGTAGGTTTTGGAACTTGGGATTGTATCACATTCAGTTATAATCGGGCTATCTCTCGGAGTCTCGCAGAGTCCATGTACAATAAGACCCTTAATTGCTGCATTATCCTTCCATCAGTTCTTCGAAGGATTTGCCCTCGGAGGCTGCATCGCCCAAGCCCAATTCAAGAACCTTTCGGCCACAATAATGGCATGCTTTTTCGCGATAACTACTCCCGCGGGGATTGGCATTGGGACTGCCATTGCTTCTTTCTACAACCCGTATAGCACTGGAGCATTGGTTACTGAAGGCATTTTGGATTCTTTGTCAGCTGGGATTCTAGTCTACATGGCTTTGGTGGACCTGATTGCAGCTGATTTTTTGAGCAAGAGGATGAGCTGCAATTTTAGGCTGCAAGTGGCATCCTATTTAATGCTTTTCCTAGGCGCTGGATTGATGTCTTCATTAGCTATTTGGGCTTGATTTTGTTCTTAATTGTTGTTATTGTCTTCTTTTCCCTTTCTTTTTCCCCCTCTTTTGATGTTTCATGGTGTAGTAATTATATATGCAACGATTCTTTGTATTTTGTTGCTCTCTTCCTCTTAAGAGGGAACTGATAGCAAGAAGAAAGGAATACAAGGTTGTAGACAAGCAAAAGAAGAAAGGAATCTAGAAGTTTTTTTAGACAGAAACAAACAGAAGCACTCGGCCTTGGATCATGACTAGCAGATTTACCTTGTTGCTGTTTGTAATTAAATTTTAATTGATTGTGTGTACGGAAAACGGTCCTGTTTGAGGCTTCCAGGCTCCTAACGAGCTAGCAGGGAGATTGCCGAAATGGTCCCATTTGCCAAACTCTACCCACTGAATTTATTGCTATCGCACCATATAGTTAAAATACAGAATACAATTCAATTCTTCAAGAGAAACAGAAAAGCTTAAGGATCTTTTTGATGTTAAGTCTTTTGATTAGAGGTGTTCTGGTTTTATCATGTTAATGTTAAAATCTTGTTACAGTTTTCACGTTGCAAGTGGGGACAAATATACTTCAACTGAAAGGAATTCTCAGTTTTCACTCTACTTGTTCAGTTACAAGTAGAGTGGCACTTTAGACCAAGGAAAAAAAAAAGTCTACGCCTCTAGATCTTTGTAAGGTGTGTTATATCATCGATGTCGTTTAGCGCCAAAAAAGAAGGCTCAGATCTAGTAAATTGCCTTATATAACGAGCAGGAAAGACGGACTGTAATGTTTAAGCCCGCCAAATACTACGACTATATATATATTAATTAGAGCCTCATTATTCACCAAAATGCCACTCTTCTCCCACCGCCTTTCCCACTCACTTCCAGTCTCCTCCTCCTCTTCTTCTTCTTCACATTCCTATTCCTCCAAACCCTTGAAGCCCCTAAAACCCGCCGTTTCCTTTCCAATCACCGTCTTCCCGGTCATCTGCCTCGTGTTTGGCCTCGCCGGAACGATCTTCGCCGTCTCGGTCCTCCGTCGCCCGATTCCTCTCCCCATTTTCCGATGCGGAAACGCCGAAGACACTTTCCGCTCGTTCTACTCGGCTTCCAACTCTCGACAGCTCGGCGATAATGGAGGCCTGGTCGATCGGCCTAAGCTTCTTGGCTTCGTCGGAATCCAGACCGGCTTCGGCAGCGCCGATCGCAGAGCCGCTTTGCGCGCCACTTGGTTCTCCTCCGATCCCGACGGGCTTTTGAGGTACAATACAATCAGACTTCTTATCCTTCAAATTTCGATAATTTATAGTTGAAAATCATTCTCTGTAACTGAATCGAGCAATTACTTAATGATTATGATCTGCAAGGTTAAAACTTTGGTTTTCGTGTTTCTTTTTCCCAATTTGCTACTTTCGTATACTATATATTTTCCGCCAGAGGATCTGCGTATGAATTTGTAATTTAGAATAATTCATTGAGTTCTCGAAATGCTTAATATATTCATTTCATCGTCGTCTTTGTAGACTGGAACAAGCTACTGGTTTAGCTTTCAGGTTTGTTATTGGACGGACAAAAGATGCAAAGAAGATAGGACAGCTTAGGAAAGAGGTAGATAAGTACAAAGACTTTATGCTGATTGACGCTGAGGAAGAATATGCAAATCTTCCATACAAAACGTGAGAGTTTCTTGTTTAAATTAGATGTTTTTGAAGGCGATAAATATGTTCTGTAAGGTGTATCAAGGGTTCCTTTTTTGTTCTGCTTTGTAGGTTGGCATTTTTCAAAGCTGCTTTTGCACTCTTTGAAGCAGACTATTATGTCAAAGCTGATGATGACATCTATTTGCGTCCAGGTATGTTGAAGAGCGTGGGATGTTATAATGTTTTGACTAGAACGTTCTACATCTAGAAATAATTATGTTTTCTTTGAGTTTTCAGATAGACTGGCTACTCTTCTAGCTAAGGAGAGAAAGCATTCACAAACTTATATCGGATGCATGAAGAAAGGACCAGTGATAACTGACCCTAAATTGAAATGGTATTTTGGGTTCTTTGAAACCTTTTAATCTTGGGTGCGTTCATTACTTTTAGGAATATATGTATGCGCGCTTGTTTTTTTGGCCGATGGTTAAATAGTACAAAATTTCAGGTACGAGATATCAGGACATCTACTTGGAAATGAGTACTTTCAGCATGCTTATGGTCCTATATATGTTCTGTCTGCTGAGGTGGTGGCATCATTGGCAACTGCTAGAAATAACAGGTGATCTCATTTGCACAAATCTGTGTGATGATCCCATGAAATTTCGAGCTTTCTGGTGTTCTAGTTTTTGCTGCTGGGTTGCCCTTTTCTTAGTGGATTTATTTTCTAGCTTTCAGTTTGAGAATGTTTAGTAATGAGGACGTCACGATTGGATCTTGGATGCTTGCCATGAATGTTCAGCATGAAGACAATCGGGCACTATGCGACCCTCGATGCACACCAACATCAATTGCAGTTTGGGATATCCCAAAATGTTCAGGTAAAATCATCTTTCAAGAAAGTCTGATAGAAGCTCTGGTTCTTTGACAACGAGTAAATAAAACAAAGCAAGAAGTAAAAGATTCTTGGTTTTGTTCTGGACGGTTAAAAGCATGTTCGTTGTTAAGTTGCAAAAAGAAGGCAGTCTTACCATATAAGAGTATCTGTACATTTTGAAGCAAGCAAGCTGATTCATTGTCGGTTGTTAAGCTAAATATGTTCCGATCTTGTGAGATTTATCAGGATATTTCATGCTTTAGGCGCAAAAGTTAATTTTGTATGTAAACAAAGCATCATGTAGCTTAGTGACCTTTTTCGGAAAATAGTTCCATGGCAAATATTCCGTTTTAATTGGGTTGTTTCGCATAATCTTGCCGCTGATGCATTCTCCATATAGCTAGACCATGTCATGACCATGTCATGACTTTCATGTGATCTGATTGGTAACTTATCTATTGAGCGATTTCTAACGTCAGAAAGTATGGCAAAATTTTCAGGTTTATGCAACCCAGCCACTCGCCTGAAAGAACTTCATGCAATCGATATGTGCTCCAAAAGTCCTACCCTACCTCCTGATGACAGATAAGAACTTTTTTGGCCTGCAACATTACTTACCCTACAAATGCCAATAATTCAGGAAAATTACCTGCAAAGGAATTGTTAATTTTCTCCCTTTTCATTCCATTAGGTCATCATCATCATTCGGGAAATGTATTTTTAGTGATCGTAATTCCCACGCCATCACCCTCTCTTAAGTAATTTTCCGATATATTATTTAGTTCCAGAGAACGTATATAATACAAGTAATACAGATATACTTGAAGATTATCACTGACAGTACTTGCATGTAGGACCGTTTTGTGTGTCACGACTCACAAAGCATGTTCTACATTGGGGCGGTTCTCTTTTTGACCTGCCTAAATTTGATATGTATATGTATCTGTACTGCTAATTAAGCAAAAATTTACAATACCATCGTTCATTTTATTCCTTATATTGTGATTTATAACACGCATGTTTTCATTGCGTTTAATGTTTCGTGTCTTTGGTACACTGTGGGCGGATTTGTTTAGTTTCTACACGTTTTAAAATTGTGGTGCGTTTGAAACTCATTTTAAAATAATTTTATTTTTTTTGTATAAAAATAGAAATAAAAACGTTTTTAATCTCAGACATAAATTATTTTTAAAAACGCGTTTGGTAATTTTATCAAGAGATTATTTTCAGTATAAAAAATTCATTAATGTCTCTCTGTTTGAGAGAAGAGAAAACGAAAATAAAAAATAAAAAATAACTAAAAGTCGTTTTTCATTTCTCACATTTCACATTAAATTAAAAAATTATTTTTATTTTTATTTTTTATCTTTAATTGTGTCAAACACTGTTTTCAAATCGTTTTATCTTTTTTTTTGAAAAAAAGTGAAAAACAAAAAAAAAAAAAAATCTGACGTGTAGTCACTCTCTTTCTTACTCTCTAACTTCTACATTTGTTGCCTGTCTTCCACTTCTCAAAAAATTAAAACCTGATTATAAACCCTTTTCTTTTGTATTTTATTACAACTTTGCCATGGAAACACTCTTAATTTAAGGGTGACAATTCGTGTCACGTGTCGTGTTTTGATCGTTTCTTTTTAAATTTGCAGTCAACTTAAACACGACCCGTGACATGAAATTTTTTAAAAACCGCAACACGAACACGACATGACCACTTTACAAATTGACACGACACGACACAACCTGAAAATGACCCGTGACACAAAATTGACCCGTGAACCCGAAATTGACACGAAAATTGTATACTTTTATTTATTTTTTTACATATGAAAAATAACTTAAAATTCATAACACACTAAATTACAATAACATCCGTTAAAATTAAGTAAATAATAGTATAAGATTTTGAGTATAACTATCATGATATCACAAGTTCATAATAAAATTTAAAATATGAAATGAAAAATATGTATTTTTTAATTTTTTACGAGTTTTGTGTCGTGTTCGGGTTAAGCGGGTCCAACCTAAAATTGACCCGTGTTTTTCGTGTCAATTTTAGGTCGACCCAATTTTAGCCTGAACTTCTTTTTTCTCAACCCTAACTTGCAAAATTCGTGTCATTTTTTAGTCGTATCGTGACCCATATTGCCGGTCCTACCTAATCATAAAAAAGAGAATTTATTCAATTCCGTAGATATATATATATATATATATATATGCTCTTAAAGACGTCAATGAGTAATCCTTGAAAACTTTATTTATTTAATATTTTGTAAAAGATAAATGTTAGTATCACTATTTCTTCACTCTATATTTATTATTTGACATATAAATTATAATAACATAATATATTATTATTTAAACAGAAAATAAGATAATAAAATTCACATGTCAAATTATAAATTTAGAGAGTGACAAAAAGAGTTATGTTAATATATATATATATTTTATAAATTATTTTATTCCTATATTATATTATTCTATTGTAATTGAATGGTCCTTATTCCGTTATTCTCATTAGAAGATATCATTATGGAATAAACAAATAGCATATTATCATGAAGCAAAAGATTGCAGGAATTTTCGTACTAATAAAACTTTTATAGTTAAATCTAAATAATATTGCGACAAAAAACTCAATTGGCGATTTTGATATGAAAATAGTTTTGTATCTTAAATTTGGTAAATAAAAAAGAAAGTGTGAGAGAGAGAGATTTTTCGACAAATACAATGATATTTGGCACCTTTATTATCAGGAAAAAGAAAGGGTTTAACAAATTTCTAGAGAGGAACGGGGATAGTGATAAATTACAGGAGTAATTAGATAATTTTAATTTTGTAATTATAAAAATAGTAGTAATAAAATGTAAAAGAATGGTCTGCATATGTATATTTTCTTGAAAAGTCCAAGCACATGCAGGCACTGATGCATTTTAGGAAGGGGGGTCACGGGGGCAATCAAAATTAATTATATAAAATGCTGGTTTGAGGATTATCTATATCTATAACTTATATAAGAAGAGGATATAAGTTTTGTACTTCAACTTTTGATTGAACCAATCTAATGGCTCACATTAACTTGTTTTTCAACTTAGTTTAAATCCATTGGTAATAATTTCATCCACATGGCTCATTATTTTCCTCACTCATCTATTGGTATGACTTTGTTTCCTCTCTTATTCACTTTCTTTGCTTCCTCTTAATATCTTTTGTAGTTCAACTATATTTTGTTCTTTTTTGTTGCTTCTTTATGTGTATGTATGTGTATATGCATTACCTTAATTACTGTTTGTTTGCGTTAGTTATTGTGGTAGCTATGAAAATGTACAACTAATTATGAAAATTGTCTCTTTTTTTTTCTCCTTTATATGTATGTGTGTATATGCATCACCTAGCTTATTGTTTGCTTTCTTTAGTTATTGCGGTAACTATGAAAATGTACACCTAATTATGACTACAGTCAATAAAAACAATAATTTGAAAAACAAAATCAGATCAAAACTATTTTTCCTATCGTTCATTTTTTTAGGGGTGAATATCGGGTGGGTTGGGTGGGTTTTTGAGATTTTTCAACCCACCCAATTAAGTTTAAGTGAGTTCATTTTAAATTTAACCACCTAATCAATCCAAAGTTTAAAATAAACCCACCCAATTAAAATTTAGGTGGATTGATCAGGTTAAACATAATAAAATAAATAAATAAAACTAATCATTCAACCTAAAATAATAAATGTATAAAAAAAGAAAGCTAACTTTTATCATAATATTAGCCTTATAAATCTCTAAAATTATTACATAAGTTATAAACTAATATAAAAATAAAAATATATGTAAAACAAGGTCAAATATATATGTTATAAACTAACAAACAAACAATAATTAAAACTCATACAACGTAAAATATAATAGGTTGTCTAATAAATAATGTAAAATATGAGACAAAACTATATATTATGAGGTAGGAAAAAATTTATTTATATAGATTAGTAGATTGGGTGGGTTCGGATTAATTTTAGTTAAGAAAATCTCAACCCAAACTCACCCAATTAATAGTCGAGTTGGGTGGGTTGGGTTGAACTCTTAATTGAGTTGGTCGGGTTCGGATTAAAATGGGTTAGGTTGGGTTAGTTAATTAGGTTCGTGGGGTTGTCGGGTTTTTTATTCACCCCTAATTAGTATCAATGTGAAGTAGGACCAACTTTATAATATTTTAATTTGAAATTACCCCTAAATATGCATATACAAATTGATAAGTAATGGCACACTTTTTTTTTGCTCTCTCTATTTCTAAGGCAAAATATCCATCTTAGTTTAGTTATCGTTTTTATCAAATTTTACAATTATAAATTAAATTAGAGCAACTGCTTATTTTTAGTTGAAAAATGATAAATAATTATTAGAATAGTTTATATTATAACATTGTTACTCATGTTTGATGATTTAAGGTGAAATTTTTGCAAAATTATACTAGTTTGTTTAAGAAGTGTCTTCTGTGCCCCCACTAGTCTACCAAGTTGCGGGCTTCTTTTGTTGGGCTTCAACTACATTTTCATAATAAATTGGACTACTTGTTTATATAGAGAGAGAAGCGTGTGTGTAACTATAAACTTTATTTTGTTTCACATTTTATTATTATTTTTACTGGGATAGTTTTCTATTCTCTGCCTTAGTTCTCTATTAATTATGTTTAATTTTTTGTTGACTTTCTTTTCATTATTTTCTCGCCCAAAACTTTATTTATATTCTTTTGTTTTCTACCATTTTTATTCAATTTTCAGTTTTCATTCTTTTTTTTTTCTTCTATCTCCTATTTTTTTTTCTCTTGGAGTTTTCTCTGGTGCACCGGCTAAATTTGGTGTACCGGATGTTTAATGGGCCGAGTGATTTAAATGAGACGGTGTGTAGGTGATGTGGGTTTGGGCACAGTACGGAAGCTGCCAAGCAAAAATTTAAAGTTCAGATTTAAATTTTTAATTTGAGTTAAAATATAATTTAATGTGAGAAATTTTTACTGTAATAAAAAAATTAAATGTGATTATTTATAAAAAAATTTTATTATAATAAAATTTAAATTTTAAACTCAAATCGATAAAATAAACAATACTTAAATAACTTTTATTTTAAGAATTTTATGTAATTTTAAATTATAATTTGTAATTCTATTACAATATTTTTCAATAAAAAATGTAAATTTTAAAAATTAAAATAATAGAATATACTTCTAATCTTATAAAACAAACTTCTTGAAAAAAATATGTGGTCCGAACGGGCTAACCTCACGATCCACGTGTTTTGACGTGAGATATGACACGAGATTGATGTGCTACGTGGAAAGCTATATCTGTCACTCCCCCGCTTTATCTCTCTTCCTTCATCATATCTTTTAACAAAAAAAAAAAAATTTTCATTACCATCCCTGATCCTCACTGGGTGCGTTTGAAATTGGTTCTAAAACGATTTTATTTTTTATATAAAAATAAAAATGAAAATATTTTTATTTTTATTTTAAAATTATTTTTAAAAATATGTTTGATAATTTTATTTCGAGATTGTTTTTAATTTAAAAAAAATTAAAATTGTGTTTAGTGATTTAATTTTTAAAAACATGTAATAATATATTAAATAAATAATAATATTAAATATATTAAATAAATATTATTATTTAATATATTAAATATTTAATATATTATAAACATGATTATATATGAAAACTGCAGAAGTTTGGAAATGAAAACGGAAAAAATAAATTCGTTTTCAGAAAGATGAGAAAAAAAGAGAAAATGAAAACGGGTGTTTTCAGTTTTAATTTTAGAAAATTTTACGCCAAACGCGTTTTCTGTACTCATTTTCAATTTTTTTTTCTTGAAAATGGTGAAAAATGAAAATGAGACCGGAAACAAACAGGCCCATTATTTCAAACTCGAGCTCTGCAGCAAAAACAGAAGCGAACGGAAATTTCCGAAATCTTATATTGGAGT